GGCGCCGCGCGCGACAGCTCGACGCAAAGTGTCAACGTGGTGAAACCACTTAGAACTTCAAATGAGAAATGAGTAAACGTACTGTGTAAATTGGGATTCTCTGCTGCTCTAGAATCTGCGCAGACACGATGTTATCCGATTGAGTCGCAGCAGCGCTCAAATCGATTGTTGTTACGTACATAGCGCCAGTGTGCACGAAGAACATCCGATGACAAACGCGCGTTAAAACGCGTTTATATTTGCGATAATCGCTAAATTATCCGCTGAATTGTTCCGTCGCGTGTAACACCGCGTACCGAAAAACAGCATAATTTCGCACTGTAATGACGCTTTCAATATTCATATTGCCGCGTGTTCGATGAGTACATACATGTAGTACGTAATTATGATATGTGGGCGATTATATAGAGATTATGGTGTACATGGACGATTATATTATCATCTAGGAAATGTAGAACTCTATGGACGTAGGTATAAACGGATGAATTAGGATAGCGGTATATCTCCCACCAGAAAAAGCGTGCGTAAATAATTACAATCGATTCTTTTATTTTTTATCTCGACGTTGATTAGACGTTTCTCGATTCATGTTATACGAATCAAGAGGCACGGTACTGCTTCGCGCCGTTCAAGCGCGACTTCGTTGCGCGTGTCTTTAAAAATTAAAATAAAGTCATGTGACAGTGAGGAGAGGAAAAAACACGTGACTAAAGTCACATGATTGTACTTTAGTCACGTGTTTTTCAAAACGTGACTAAAGTAAACTCACGTGACAGAGAGGAGTGGAAAAACAATACGTAAGTAAAGTCACGTGATTTTACTTTAGTCAGGTTTTTAATGACACGTGACTAAAATACAGTCACGTGATTTTAGTCACGTGTTGGTTTTCCCCTTTTTCCTCTCGCTATTTTTTTATTTTGATTTTCATGTGTTGTTTCTGACATCTCTCTAATATGTATTATATGGTTTGTAAGACGTATACATATATACTAACTGTCATTGCGGTGACAGGTGTTGTGTTCACTGACACTACACGTTAAAATAAAAACAACAATGACGCGCGCGTAGCGCGCGTCTGTGTTTTGCTAGTAAAATATATAAATAATATACATATGTATTACGCGTGCGTAATAATAAAAAGCAATGTAATATATGTTTGCCACATATTAGTTTATTAAATTAAAAACATTTGTACATCGAGAAAGAGAGAGAAGGAAAAACACTGAAAAAAAAGACTCGCTGAAGAGCAGCAGGAAGATTAGTTACTACATCAACAAGAAAAATTTGCTAGATCTGTTGACAAATTTTTCTTGCCACTATATGATAGCAAAACTTTATTCCCGTGAGTGTGTGTGTAACACGGCACGGTTTATAAGAAAGTTAAAAGCGAAAAAGGTCGAAGATAACGAGAGTTTTGTTTATGGAGATAACGAGCATAACCATTAGAGATATTGCGGTCGATCGAGCGTAATATTGTCAACATACTAATATTAATATATAATTTGGTTTTTTTTATACATTTACACGTTATTGTTTTTATTATACAATTTTGAGTGAGAATAACAAAGATAATGATCGTATTATCACAGTTTCGAGAAAAGCGTTAAGGAAGTGGGAAAGACGGATGGTTTGTGACATCGCACTCGGTGTCTGGTAATTGTTGACAGGTTGGCACCGGTGGCACCTCGCAGACACATTTGACGCACACGGAGCTGTAATCGGTAGCTTGATTCAATTCTTCGCCACGGTGCATAGTCATGTTGCCGAAGTGACAAACATTTTTATCTAAAAACAAATAATAAATTTTAAATTAAACGAATTATGTAACTTTTGCGCATTGCAAAACACATTTGCAAATCAAAACACGATTAAATATTTGTGAAGATATCTTCAAGAAAGAGAGAGAGAGAGAGAGAGAGAGAGAGAGAGAGAGAGAGAGAGAGAGAGAGAGAGAGATGTGTGTGACAAATATTTTCGAAGATCGAATGTTTACATAACTCATTAAGGTTATCAATAGCGCGTTAACTAATAGATATGACACAATTTCAGCTGCGCTTTGTAGAAATCAAATCAATGACTAAATTAATTATCACTTTATAGGATTGCGGCAGACATTGGTTCGAGTGTTGCTCTCTTTCTCTCCTCTTTCTCTCTAGCTTGCAATTAACTCTCATTATGTGCCATTCAAAGCGTAGTCGTAATTAGCATCGCTGAATGTTCGAACGCATATCCGCATTTATATCTCAAATTAAACGTGTTCGCTCTTCTCTGTCTAAATTAAATCGTAAATAACTAAATGAATGTACGTATATATATATATCAGTATATCCCATAGAAAGTGATCGAAAGTATTGAAAAGATTTGAGTAAAAAGATCGACAAACAGCTATTGAATTCAATAAAGAACTCAGTCGGTTAAAAAGAAAGGAATTAATTCGAAAGAAATTAAGTCATTAATTAAATTAAAAACGTTACCGGAAGCTTCGCCAGATTTCAAATCGTGGTTGGCGTGAATAACTTTGTCGTTGTTGTTTTCTGAAAAGGAAAATAAACGGAAAGACAAAATATTGGCGAAGACGACGAACTATTCGCGCGAAACGCGATTATTTCAAAAACTCACGACATCGCGAAGATACGCCGCAACCAGTTTGCGGCGACTGACCGGGATAATAAACCGGCGCGCACTTGCTGAAAATGTCGCTAGCGTGACGGAAATCCGGACTGCAATACGGACGTTTCGGTCTCACGCAGAAAGGTTCGACATTTTTTCCTGAAAAAAAAAAAAAGAAACGTGTTTGTATATTTGTATATTTGACGTAAACAAAATAAATAATAATAAAAAGTGGCCGATACGTCAAAATGTTCGAAGCAACGTATGTGCGCATTCGAAGTTAAACACGTCTTTACCTTCGTAACCGGGTTGGCATATACAGTTCAGTTCCGGATCGCTCTTCACAGAAAAGTATTCTCCGTCCTTATAAATTGTTCCGTCTACTTCGCAGGTGGCTCTGTCTTCGGGTTTTTCCGCTAAAAGGTACAATTAACTTCGTGCAATTACTTCCTAGTGTGGGATAAAAGATATTGAAAAAAAAAAAAAAAAACATTAATCTATACTTACGACATATTTCCTCATAAGCGCAACATTCCGTCAGAGAGTGCCTTATGTAGCATTCTTCCTTGAGACCGAATCCGTTGAAACAATCGACCACGGCGCAAGTGAACGTAGCGCTGTCCGGCGAAATTGCGTGGTTCAAAAAACGAAAGAATTAAAACAATTCTCGCGAGTTGATCTCGACAATCGAATGATAAACTTATTAAAAAAAAAAAAAAGTTCGATGTTAACACGTGCGCGCTTACATGTCGTTGTATCCGCGATTGCAGAAGCATCCCATGTCACAGGGATTCGCATCTTCGTCTTTGAGTTTCTCGCCAATCTCGTACGTTTTGCCGTTGACGTAACACTTGTCCTTAGATCGTTCGTACAGATGATCGCAATTGTATCTCGTCGCGCAGCAATCATTTTCTTTTTCGTACACCGGTTTGCAGCCGAGCGCCTTGTAATACGCCAACGGGCCCGGGCATTTTGTTTTGTCGCACGCTTCTTCGCAATAAGGAACCAAAAAAAAAAGCGATTGATAAGTTAATTCGATCCCAGTCGAAATAAATATTTAAAGTCCAAATAAATCAGCGCTTCTTGTCGTCGGAATTTAAAAGCGTGGTTTTTTACGTAACAAACGAGTAACTCCAGGTAAGCGACGCGTGCGAGAGGCGGAATTATTCATGAGAAGCGCCAATAAAGGAGAGAGAGTTCGGTACAAATTAAAGAAAAAAAAAAGAACAAAAAACTAATTATTCTTCGAGCTAATTTTGTCATTATTTCGCACGAACCGGCTAATGCGCGCAAATTAAGTTGAAATATTCGAATCGTCATCATTATCATCATCATTTTATTACCGAATTAACCAGTCGCGCGTGTTTCTTGTTCGTTTTCTTCGATTCTCCGTTCGCGAATAATTGTTTTATCCGTCCTTCGTCGACACTCACCTTGGTCGACCGCGACCGTGACAGCGACGAGCGCCACACAGGCGTACATCCAAATGAGAGAACGTGAGCCGCGAAGCGTCATGATCAACGTGTGAAAGAAAACTTCGCTGGTCTTAGTGTCCGCGCTGCGTCATTTATAGTTGGACACCGTGACCGTCTATCCTGGAAGGGATCCGAGAGCGAGAGAGAAAGAAAGAAAGAGAACGCGAGACTGGCGAACAACAGAGACGGAGTATTGAACGTCATTTTCGGGGGGAAGGGGAATAATGTGCGTACGCGTTCCATCGCGTACACGCGAGAGAAACAAGAAGAGGAGAGTGAAAGAGAATGTTTCTGGGAGATGGAAGAGTGTGTCGTCGAATATGCGCGCGCACCTTTGACAGTCGAAGTCAATTAAGCGGGAGACTCGTGAAGAGAGACGAAGAAACATTTTAATGAACAATAAAAAAAAAAAAAAAAGAAACAGCGTGGATAATAAATAAAGAATCAAAATAATACTGACTAAACTTTGTCAAGAGAGAATATATTACTTTATTTAAAAATCGTACTTGTACCATATGATATTATGTACATCATTTGGTGTTCGAAGTGTTCGATGTTCAACGATGGGAATAGAGTTAGACAGAGAAAACTCAGGTAACTTCGTTAACCTGTCTGCGTTGCCGAACTGTCTCGCTCGACCCGCGCATTCCTGACTTCTTTATCTGTGTCAATGTGCCGGGATAGACTTCAAGCTTTGCTTGAATGTGTCAGTGTGTCTGTTACGTACTACCACTAATCCCTTCGCTCAGGATGTAATCCACGTAATTGCATTCTTTGGGCGGTAAATGTTGGCAGGTAGGAATCGGCGGCACTTCGCATACGCACTTAATGCAGAAATATTGCAAGCTCTGGCTAATCTCGTCGCCAAGATGCATCGTCAGGTTGCCAAACAAACACACGTTCTCCTCTGAAACAATCGAAGTTCAGGAATTGTCGACGAGTAACACTCGTTTTTTTTTATTCAATTTTCTTAATTCGCGCGCAAAAAAATGCGTGAGGAATTCAAGCTTTGTTCTCGAAAATAAACGTACCGTCCAGAACTTCTCCAGATTTTAAATCGTGCTTGTGAATGACAGTGTCGTTTTCTTCTTCTGTAAAATTCATTAAATTCGTTAATCGGTAACGCGTTAAAAATGTGTAACGCGAATAAATAATGCTCGAAATTGCTTTCGTAAACTCACGGCATCTCGTAATCAAGCTGCAGCTGGTTTGGGGCGGTTGATCGTTATAAAATATAGGAGCGCAATTTTCATGAATAACGTTGGAATAGTAAAATCCGGGACTGCAATACGGACGATTATGCTTGTAGCAGAAAGGTTCGACGTTTTCGCCTGAAAACGCAAACTTTTTGATCGGAATCAAGACGATAAGATTTAAAAAAAAAAAAAACGGTGAAAGTGTATTTTAAAGTGAATATAATGTGGAAACAATCGAATACACAAAAAAACAATTAAACGGTACTGTCCGCGTACCTTCGTAACCTGGTCGGCAAACGCACGTCTTATCCGTTTCATTCTTTACATCGAAATATTCGCCATCCTTATACGTAATTCCGTCTACAACGCAAGTAGCTCGTTTCTCAAGATTGTCGACTAAAAACAAAATTATTCTATAAACACAAATATCTAAGTTTTAATTTTTTTCTTAATTCAATTGTTAGAGAAAAAAATGCGCTTACGACAAACTTTTTCATTTCCACCGCAACATAGTGACGGATTGGGTCGTCGGAAACAATTAGGTTCTAAAGGTGCGAAAGCGCAATCAGTGCCGGCACAGATGAACGACGCGCTAAACAGATTTAATTTTTTTTTTTTTTTTTTTTTTAATAAAATTACAATCAATGATTTTCAACAAGAGATCGGCGCACAAAATAAATATTCGATATTTTTCTTTCAGCTTCAAGTAGTTTGTTTAAAACTTGAGTTTCTGATTACCAAAAATATGCACACGCGTATCTCAAACATTGCTTTTATGCGGGAAATCGCGTCAAATAGTCGTCAAAAATTCGCGTTGAACAATATTATATTTTCTACTAATACAAAGAAATCTCGCGCACGACATGAATTACATCTGCACACATCTGTGCGCGCGTATGTACATGACATATGTTACCATACGACAGAATAATCCCGAACTGTCGACGCGTATGGGAAAAATGTGACGTAATTTGAATAACGTGACGTCGTACATGAATCTTTCATAATATCGAAAGAAAATGCGCCGAACGCGGGCTGATGGCCGCGTATATTAAATATTCATGATTGCCGTGTGTAAAATCGCGCGAAAAACAACACGGAAATAATACACGAACGGGATGATGGTTTTACACCGCGGGTAAAACCCGGAGTTTGTTTTCATAATAGGTGGTGGTTCTCTCGCATTTTCGTTTTCTTCTGTTCTCTTTTTTTTTTCTCTTTCTTTCGCGAGTTTAACATCATCGCGAGTATTTAGCGAACATTGTTATTGTGCACTGGTACGTGTTTTGCAAATTCATGTAAACTTACATTCCGTTGTATTCTTGGCAGGCGCAGTCGAAATCGCAAGGATTCGAGTCCTCGGGCTTGAGCTTCTCGCCTACGTCGTATTCCTTACCGTTGACGTAACATTTGTTCTTAGCTTGCGCTCTCACGCGGTCGCAGTTGTACTTTATCGGGCAGCAATCGTTCTCTATGTCGTACACCGGCTCACAACCTAGCACTCTGTAATACTCCAACGGACCCCGACATTTCGTCTTGTCGCACTCATCTTCGCGAAAGAATCACACATAAATCAATGTAAAAATGTCGTAAAATTCGAAAGTTTCGATTTTTACATCCTTTGTTCGGTTTCGAATGTGTCTAGTCTGCGCGATTAGCAGCGTGTCTTTTTTGCTTAATAAAAAGTCGTTTCCTTTTATTTATAGATTTTAATAACCTCGCTTGAAAACAAATAAATGACAAGTGGAGTCACAGGATAAAATTAAATATTCGCAAACTTACCTGTGCCGACGTCAATAGCGACCGCCGCGATAGCGACGACGAACGCCAGGTAGACGGGTATCCGAAGAGAGCGACGAAGTGACATAATCGAGCGCTCGTACAACTTCTATCGAGCTTAGCATCCGCGTTGCACTATTTATACGATCGTGATTGGTGATTCGGAGATAATAATCTCGAGAGAATATACCAATCAAAAGTGAAGATTGCTGTGCAAACGTGAGAGAAAGAAAACTCACGGGAGAGCACGTGAGTGTATGCGAACAAAAGAAACAATGAGATAAGCGGCCGAGTAAGAGATAAAATATGCTGCGCGTATCGTGAAATCGCGCGCGAATGAATTGAGAGAAAGAAAAAGCGCACGCGCGTTGAGGACGAGGCGACGAATCAATGATTAATTAAAAAAACGCAAAGGTGCAAGTTCAATCGAGTTATCGCAAAAAATATCTGGATGATGTTTTAATTTTGTTTAAGCGTAATGATGTCCGCGCAAAACGGCGAGTTTCAAAATTGAACGATCCTTTTTACGGGGCGGCGTGTAATTGCGCGTTAAAAGATTGAATCAAAAAACAAACTTCGAGCGGCAGTTGTATATAATATAATATATGCACAATAGCATACATAATATCCCGTATGTTAGGAATTAATTAACTCTGCGGCGAGGGAATAAATTATCTTGCAGTTACCTGTAGACAAACAAACCCCCTAGTTTAGCTATTCGCTCAAGGATAGCTCCTGCAAATTGCGGTTTTACGTTTAAATTTTCAGTTATACGAGATTTCTCTACAAATTTTACGGTGTAAATTTCCGTTCCTCTTTTGTACAAAACGTTTCCACGAACGAAGTGACACAAGTTTTCGTTTTTCGGCAAACTCATCAATCCGTTGATTACCATCTTCGTCGATTTCAGACAAGTACAAACTACCTTGCGTAAGAGGTGTTATTACTGGTTAATTTTCCGTTGAATCAACAATGTCGGTGGCGTACAATCAGACACCTTCGGGGATTCGACGCGCGCACGAGTGTGCGCGCGCGAGAAGTACGTAGAATATTCTAACTCGTTGATAGTTACAAAAGGCAATTCTCAAGGCAAACTGCTCGATCGATATCATCCTCACGTATAGAGTAGATATTCATCGGTCACACACAGGAAATAATTTCTCGACGAGACGAACATTCGAACGAGCTCTTCGTCTAATGAAAATGCTCAAGTGATAGACTAATGGTGTGATAAAAAAAAAAACAATTAGAAAACTTATATGTACAATTCCATCGATATATGTGTACACATATATCGATGGAAAGATAAAGTTTAATTTCTGTTTTAAACACGCAAACCGGAATTTACAGAAATATTCCGCGTAATCCGTTTGTGTGCACAGCACACACACACACACACACACACATTCTCAGAAAACAAATAATTTATTTCTCACACACACATAACAGATTACAATGAAGCTGTGCACATGTCGCGGTTACATAAGTTTCATAATTAATTCTTCGAGTTAGGAGTGAGCATTCGCGTATGTATATTATTCAATGGAATCACGAATAATTCAAAAACAATATATGTAAAATTAATTTTCCAAATATTCTCAATTTATTGCTAATTTATTTTTAGTATTTCACGTTGTATATTTTGAGACAATTATATGTTCGAACGTAATAAGTATTTGCGAGCTGTGAAATTTCGCGACATTGGCAACATCGAAGAGTAAACATGTTGACGTATCGCACTCGCTGATCTTCCTTTCGTCAAGATAATCAATCGCAAAGGAACGTGCGAAATTAAAAAAACATGCGAACCCCATTATGGCCGAAATACTTGTTTTTTATCGATAACATCGTTTCGAATATCGTCTTAGCAACGAAACACTTTCCGAATCGTAAACGGAGAGTGTTGAATAATTTTTCAAGTCACAGATCGATTGTCCAGAATTTGAAGAAAGAATCGATCGCGCGCGCGAGAGATGCGTTCGCCAATTCGGATTTCAGGAGCAGCATCGTTCTGGAACGCAACGTTATTAATCGCGTTATCGCGTCGTTCGTGTACAACGCATAAATCACCGGGCGGTTAGAGCAGTCGTAAGAACCAGCTCATAACTGCGAATTTACTACACGCGTTACCCGGCCGACCGGCAGGTATACGCCGCCGCGGCCTGGCCACAGTACGTTACACGTTCCCTCTTCTACAAAAAAAATGATACAAAACTAAAAAAACTTGGCGCAGCTGCACTCTGTCTTTAGTTTTCGGTGTATCAATCATTGCTATACGTGAGAAATTTGCAGGTAACAGACATCACATTTATTTTGGGATGTTCCAATAACTTTATTTTGATCACTTGTACAAATTACAACTTATGTACGTTGTGTAAGACACGTGCACATTTACTAGAAATAGATTGAAAAACTCTTTGGTACTATATTGTCACTTAATATGTCTTACATAATAAGACATATTGAAAAACTCTTTGGTACTATATTGTCACTTAATATGTCTTACATAATAAACATAGCACTTTGGTGAACAAAAATAACATTTGAATGGTATGTGACCTAAGAATGGCAACCTGTTACATATTTGATCATATATTTCCCATACAGTCTTTACAAACACACGTCCACAACGTGCAGGATCAAATAATAGCTCGAAAGTTTTTATATCAGAATGGAAGCAAGGCATCCGGCATATACAGCAAAATTTGCTATTGTCTAAGTATCTGGCCAATTTAGGCGGTAAATTATTGTATGGTATCCTGCAAAACAATAAATTTATTCTCATTTTATAAATGTTAAATTAGTAACTGTGTGTGTATAAAATAACATAATCAACTAATAAAATATACAACACCTGTATTTTTTCACTGTTTTAGCTGCTAAATCCATCAGGCTCATCACTTTTGGAGTAGGTGATATATACTCATCAACCCGAAAATCTATATAAGAATCGTTTTCAGGAAACAAAAGTTCCAATTCCATCCCCCTCATACTCCCTGGTAAATATAACAGAGGGTTTCCCACCACATTCAACGATGCTAAATGTTGCAAAGTTCCAATAATTTGCGGCAATTTTGTTAACAAATTTTCGGAAACGTCTAAGCATATTAAACTTTGTAGCTTTCCAATTTGCAGTGGCAATTCAGTGAGCTAAATGACAATAATAAATAAAAATGAATAATGAATTAGTCACTCACTAATAATAAAAAACAATAAAATTGTGTTTCACATGAAACTATCAGTTGTATGCGCCATCTTATAGTTATAATGTAACACAACTTACATTATTGTTATCTATGTGTAATTCTTTCAGGCTCTGCGAAATAGCAGTTTGCTCCATCCATTCCCATTTAGCGATTTCTAAACAAGTGTTTCCAAGGCAATTGTGTGATAATAACAGCTTATTAAGATGTGGCACAGTACCTAACTCCTTTGGCAGAAACGAGATCTGATTGTTTGTTAGGATAAGTTCTCGTAGAGTATGGAAAGTAGGAGTACTTAAGAGTACTTGGGGATGAAATTCCGTTATGTTGGATTTGCGTAAATTAAGTGTTTCGGTTGTTCTAGGAAAACTTTCTATAGATGAATATTTTCTTTTTTTTCCGACAGTTTCTGTGGTGAGTTCTGATGTAAAGTTGTCAATTTCTATAGATGACAGTATTTTGTGAAATGTATACCAAAATCCTTTAGACATCATCTCCACAAGATCAGAAAATCGTTTAAGAGAATCCTCATCAGTAGTGGAAATTTTAAGACCGTGAGATGGATTTTTAAAACATATTTTAAAAGTCATATGCGCTCTTGACAATGAACTATCACTTATCGAGGTGATAAACAGTAAGTTTTTGTTAAAGTCATAAAGATCTTTTGTTCTGATCTGTAAAAGAAACTTGCTTGTTTAATTGGTAAATAAGTAGAACCAATTCTGACAATAATGTTTAAAGGAAAAAAGACACAAGCACTTAAAATTCTGGTTTAGAATTATTTAGTAATTACTCGTATGTATTAGATAAATGCAAAAAGTTGTGATCAATTTATCATTAGTTTTAATGATAAATCAGTCATGAACTTTGTATTCATAACGCGTAAATTAATTGATTAATGAGAGCCTAAGTTGAATGTTCCCCCCTCCCCGTGCGGAATTAATATATATATAATTTTATAGTTCTTTGTTTAAAGAGAGTTTACACGTAAGTGTTGAATTGAAATTGAAATTCGTAAGTTCATATAGGATGCTGGATTTGCATCACGTATATGAGAAATGCCTGTTTACATTGAAACATTTATAAAATTAAAAACATTGAAAAACACAAATCTTCGAACGTTACCGCATGAGAAATACGAATAATAATAATAATTAAGAACGCGACACACATTCGAATAAACAAAATAATCCGCGGCATTCACACACGAATAAAATACGATATAAAGTTCACGACACGCACATTTGAAACATAAAGGGCCCACAAGAAAAAGACAAAAAGGGTAAAAACATTATAAAAATTATCAATGAATAAAACAATTACATAAGGTCCGACGATAAATTACACGACATTCACAATCAGAAGAACAAACACAAAATAAATAAACTACTTAATAGTAAATCAGACATAAACTTTGTACTTATCTAACAGGTAAAATTACTCCGATAGGAAAACATTTATAGAAGTATGTGATAAAATCTTGCATGAAAATTGTGATTCGCAATTATTTAGATATATTTTAAGAAATAGTTGAAAAATATTGATCTTTTATAAAATATTTGTAACACTGTTTGCAAAATTAAGTTCCAAATACTATTTTGGCAAAACACTAACGATATGGCGAATCATCTCAGCAGCATAGTTGCAAAATTAAATTTCAAAAAGAATTGTTCAATAATTGAGATAAATTTCAGCTATGTGATGTTTAAAATAATGTAATGTACAAATATTTTTTTTATTACATATAATAAAAGAGTAATTATTTAATAAATTAATCCAATCAGCGCCGACCTTTAGCCGAACGCACGTCAGTGAACCACACGCCTGATATGCGTGAGCGCTTCGCGCGGCACGTTCTTTAAGTGCTGAAAAAAGCACACTACATAAATACACAGTTTGTCCGGAAAGTTCCC